AATATTATTTTCTATTTAAAATTATATATATCGCGCACCAAAAAACAACATGATTACATTTTAAAATAATAATAATTATCGTTGTTTATTTAAATTTTTTTTTCTTAATTAATTAGAAAATTGAAAAAAAAAATTTAAATGAATTAGAATATTAAACGGATTTCGCCTTCAATTGATATATATATATATATATATATATCAATTGAAGGCGAAATACATATATATATAAATATATATACATATATATATTGTTTATTTATATTATGGTATATGTATATATATATATATTTTGTTGAAATTTTTAATATTAAAAGAATTAAATAAAATATATATATGAATAAGAAATATAATTAAGCTTAAGTTTTACCACATGTAAAATATGGTAATTTAAAAAAAAATCAGATGTGAAATAATTAATTTAAAATGATAATTATTGAATATATATGCATGTAATATGAAATTAACATGATCCGATCACTATAAATATACGTGTTCCGCTTTGTATATTTTAAAAGGTGTAAAAATTTCATACAAAATTTACAAAAATCAATACGAGGGGCAATCAATATATAAATGAGAGGGTAAAAAATGCAACTAATTTTAAAAATTTAATAAATAAGTGTTAAGATATTGAGATTAATATTATAGCGTTAAGCATTTTTACTATATCTTAACTGTAGAAGATATAAGTGTTTTTTAAAATCTTTTTACTTTTTTTTTCAAATCCAGGACTCATCTTGTTCCACAGTAGCTTCTAAGATGTAACAGAATAAGTTCTATAAAATTGATAGAATTTGAAATTGTCTTTACATTTAGTTTTATTATATTGAATTATTTTTTAAATTTTCAACAAAAGAGGAATATTTTTATTCCGTAATACCGTATTACTGCATTTCGGAAGTTAACCTTAATAGTTCCCTTAGGTTTAAATATAATGATAACAGTTTAATGAAATAATTTTCGGATAACCATATTATTTTGAACTTGAAAGAAATTTTAGTATATAATATTATAATTTTCGAAAAATTTATACTAATTTCATTTTCTGGAATTCTATTTGTATTTCTAATTAATTTTGTTAAAGCATATAATGATTAACTTTTGGATATCAGGACGATTACTATTAAAACTCTTCTTTTTATAACTTAACTAAATAAATAGAAAACTGATGATTAAATTTGGGATTAAAAATCTAGAGGGAAAGGAGTTACAAAAATATTTTATTCAAATAAATTAAAATGTTTATCATCAATTGTTTAAAATTTGAGACTAATCCGAATTGTTGTGTAGAAGAAAAATTGCTTCGTAAATTTGTTAAAAAATACTTTGAGATAACTGTTAATTTGAATTAGGAATCAATTTGCTAGCTTGTCATTTATTTATGGTTAGTTATATAAGAGTAATTCCTAGACATTAATTGCTTTAATAGTATTCATAATTGCTTTTATAATTGTTTTGCAAAACTACAATTTAATGTCAATTATAGTGACATGATGTATCAATTATTGTTGTTCATTCAGAAATTTTTTTAATCAAAGTGCATGATTTAAAATCAGGAACGTATATACTAGTAGATAATCTCATTTTTAATTAATTTATTAAAAGGACTCCAACAAATTTCAGAAAAAGTTGTGAATGGGAAAAATTTTATAAACACGCAACAATGTTTATAGAATTTCACTTTGTACAAATTGTATATACAAAGAGTTCTTTTAAATTACCCTCGTATTTTTTTAGGATATGTGTACAAGATAAAAGCAATATTTAAGTACAATAACTTAATTTGAAGAAAAAAAAATATTGTTTAAAAAAAAATTTTTTTTTCTTTATTTTTACTTGTTGTAATTGCAATAATAACAAGGAAGAATACATTAATTTTATTTAAAACCATAGATAGTTGAAAATTATTTTAGCATTTGGTTTATGTTAAAAATTAAAAGAATTTTTTTTTATTTTTATATTTTTTATTTTTCATTTTATACCTATTGAAATTTTGTAAATGTTTCAATTATAATATTATAAAAAGTGTAAACATTTTTCTTAAATAGTACAAAATATTTCAAGTATAATTTTAAAAATGATGATTGAAATCAATTTACAGATCAAGGAAGATGTTTGGGTGGGAGTGTTAAATTTGTTTTTTTTTTCTTCTTTTTTTTTTCCATATACAAATATTAAAATTGTAATAAAGTGTTTTGTAAAGCTATAAATATTATTAAAATAGTTGTGTTGTTCCTTTTATTCTTCTTTATAAATTGTCTACATATTAATATTGTAAAATATTTTTTGAATAAGAGAGAGAGAAAAAAAACCAATAAGATTTTTTTTATATAAACACACAACATTATTTGTTTATGTATTGGAAATTTTGTATATATACATATATATATACATTATTACATACTATTTATATTGCTTATATCTGCTTATTAATATTTATATTATTTCTAAATTACAATATTGCTCTTGTATTTCATACTATAATCAGAATTGTTATTATACACGATATAAATTAAGATATTTTATTTATTTACGAGAAAAAAAACTACAAAAAATTAATTTTTAAAATTATTTTTTGATTAAGTAAGGGAAGTAATTTTTTTAAAAAAATTTTATTTATTCATTTACGCCTGCAACAAAAAATATTGTTATGAATACTTTGTATGGATAGAAAAATTTTAAGTTGTACAATATAATTTCATGATATTGTATTCATATTAATTTTATTTTTCTATAGAATGAAAGCGTAATATTGAATTCGATTGGCTTATTGCTAAAACTAAACCATAGTTACAGATTAACGGTATATTTTTTTGAAAAAGGGATGATCATTGCTATATCCGTGCTGTTATAAAAATTAATTGGATCAGCCAGCATGCTATGGACCGACATTGTCAAATAGAGAAAATAATGAAATAAAAATTTTTTTGATAAATATTTAAACTGCTAAAATTTGAGTAATCCCTGATGCCATATATGAAAGAGAAATTTGTAAAAAACTCCTTTAAAATAGCAATTAATTTGCAAGCTTGGAGAGGGATTAAGCGTAAAAATTTTGTTTTAGTGAAATAATTTATTGATTACAAAGTATTTGTATACAGAATTGCAGCTTTATACCTAGATTATAAGTTTTGTAAACAACAGGACCGGACCGAAATTAATTTGTTCTGGAAATATGATAAAAAAAAATACACTACACACATATCCTTGAATTTTATTACATGCAGAACATTGAAATTTATCTAAAAATTTTACACTAATCTAATAATATTAATAATCTATAAGCCCATTGAAATCGTAACTTACTCAGCCGTGTTAAAAATTAGTACATAAAACTAATTTTAAGTATAAAATTTCATAATCGTATTTTAATATATGTATATATTTTCGTACAAATTAATATTTCCAATAGGAAGGTGAAATTTTGAAATATTTCAACTAATGTAGATATTCACGAGAAAGTCCTTATTAGGAAATTTTCATATCATATTTAATATCTTTACCATCTGACACAGGAATGTACTAATACTTAAAAATTAAAAATATAAAAAAAACCGCTGAGACTGCCTTTAAATCCCTGAATTTAGAAGCTTTTGAGCTGTGAACATTATCTTTATGCAAAAAATTTACTTATTAATGAAGACCTATTAAATGAAATATATCAGTGCACTTGGATACGAGACCCCTTGTATATATGGTTGGGAAAACCTTTTGAATAAGTCAATTTATTTTGAAATGCACAATTTTTAGATAATTGTGTTGGCTACTTAAATTTAAATAAGAAAAAATAGTCAAATTTCAAACATAATCAATAGCTTTGATAATTTAATTATCATTTTGTGATTAAACTTTTAATTTTAATAAATAAAATTATCATAAAAATTTTTGATATGCTTTGATTTGTAAATACTAGAACCAGGCCTTCAATTAATTAATTTAATCTAATCTAATCCAAAATTTACTCAAAAAATTTTTAAATATCAAATTTTTTCCAAAAAAAAGAAACAAATTTTGATTTAAAATTTTTACCATTATAATTTAAATGAGTACTTTATTGCGTGTATTTTTTTAAGAAAGTTAGTGACTAATATATACTTAAGTTCTAAATATAGAAATCTTCTCGATATTAAATATTTCATGTGCTCTTAAAAATTATTTGTACTTTGTTTAAACAAATTTTAGTAATAAATGGCATTTTTAGTAATTCTTCTTTTGATTTAGAACTACGAGATATTTTGAGCTATCTAGAGAATTTAATTTATATCGTCGTATCGTATATAACAAAATTTTTTACTCCGATTTCTATTATGATTTGAAGTTTCCTGTTGGATAAGGTAAAAATAGTTTTTTGGGTTCAAATTCCAAGTTCCTGTTAAAATGAAATCTTGTATAGTGATTTTTGGCTCATTTTGAATCTAAGAAATTTTTCAATATGTAATTTAATATCTCAACAAAGAATATAGGTCTATCTACTTCGTTTGCTTTGTTATGCTAACATGTCGGTTGGCTATCATAATTTTCATATCATAATATTATAAATCTTAATTTTTCTGTATTAAATTACTTTTCTAAATATCTAATTCAAAATGGAACTATGTATACATAACATATGTTATATTTTAATTGTAAATAAAAATTGCATACTGATGGGCGAATTTATTTATTCATTTTCCTTTTATTGCACCTATACTATGTAAATGTAAGTAGTTATGTATTATAATTATATCAACTAAGGACCCTGCCTTTCGATTTGTGGACAATATAAACGTATTGATAATTTTGTTTTGAATTTTGCAACTATTTAAAGCTATTTAGAAAATTTTATTATTTAATTAACGGGGTTTTTCGTTGATAAATATTTTAATTTTCTAATTTTATATTATTTTATTTTATTAGGATTTTAGTTTAAGTAATTTTTAATTTTATTTTACAAATTAAAATATAATTATGCCTTTTTTTAATAAAAAAAGAAAGCTCCGTGTGATAATCATTATTTATACTCACCAATATTATTTGATATCCTTATAGGAGTTGGTCTTACAATATATTTTAAATCATTTATGAATTTATTATTATCTATATCATCAATTCTATTATGATCATTTTGAAATTTTTTATATTCTCTTATTTGTTTATTAATATTATTACTATTATTATTATTGTTATTATTATTGTTATTATTAACATTAATATTATTAAAAATTTCATTAAATTGCTCAAAATGTTTACAGCAATCATAATTTATTGTTGAATTAATTTGTTGTTCTATATTATTATTATAATTATTATTAAAATTAATATTATCATCATTATTATTATTAATATTATTTAAAATTGAATGACAAATTATATTTGATGATATATTATTATTATTATTATTATTAATATTTATTAATCGATTATCATTAAAATTTTTATTATTATCCGTTTTTAATAAACGATCAACACTAAAACTTAATTTTATATTTTTTTCATTATTATTATTATTATTATTGCTAACATCATCTACAATATTATTATCATCAATATCATTATCACTGTCATGATCTTTTGTTATTAATGTTGTTGTTCCTGTTGTTGCTAATGTATTGGTTATTCCCGATAATGGTGATGATGATGATGCAGCAGTAGCCATTATTATTAAATTATTGTTATTATTATTGTTATTATTAACATTAAAATTGTTAATATTATTTATCATATTATTATTATTATTTGATATAATAAGATTATTATCATTATTATTTTGATATTGTAATTGATATTGAGAATTTGTTTGTAATAAATTAGTGTTATTATTATTATTCATTTCAAAATCATCTGTAAAATCAGAGATCTCTTCCTTAATTAATGTTGCATTTATCATATTAAAATAATTTTCACTCATTTGTCGATAATTAATTAATATAAGAACACCCATGTAGTTTTTTTTTCTATACATTTACATATACATGTATTTTTATCTTTGAAAATCATATTATATTTATATTATAAATTTACAATATTCATGCACATACAAGTATCGCATACTTACATACAAATATGTATAAATATTAAATAAACAAAAAGTGAGTATATCATTTAATTATTATTGCTGTAACATTTTATATAGGATCCCATATTGTATATAATTTAACATTTTTTTTTTGTCTATTATTATAATCAAATTTATTACTTTTCTATATTAATTTGAATGATTTCAAAGAATATTTTATCATATATCATTATCATATACGAATATATATATTTGTATATTAGGTGTAATATATTAAATATTCATTAATTTTATAAATATATATATATATATATATATATACCAATTTTTTATACATATATTATTATAATATAGAATCTGAAGAAGTTGATTGATGAATGATTAATTTGATTTTATCCTCAAGTATAATGTTAATATGAGTATATAAATATATATGCGGTTAAATAGTATCTCAAAAGATTTTTATATATTTATATATGTATGAGATTTATTTTAAAGAAGAAAAAGAATTTTATTTTTTTATTTTGTAAAGTGCACCCTGCAGTGTTTTGAAAAATTTCTTAAATCTATTAAATAAATCGGACGTTCCTATCTATATATATATATATATATATATTGTATATACCACATTTATACATACGTATTTATACAATAAAAGTTTATATTAATAATAAAATTATGTATATATATATATTGTAATTTTGAAGTCTCCAATAAATTATAATCTATAATAATTGTAAATATTTATTTTAAAAAATTAATTTTTTTTTTTTTTTTTATAAATTTATCTTCACCATCAATTTTTTTTTATATGATATATTTATACAATATACGTATATATAGGTGTATATATAGATACACTTATATTAATAATTACAAATATTTTTCATTAAAAAACACCAGAAAATTAATTTTTTTGCTCTCTCTTTTATTTAATTGTTGAAATTTTATATGTCCCGGTTTTTATTTTAAAATTATTTATTTAATTAAAAAAAAATTTTAATTACAATTACAGGATCAATCACTTAAAAATCAAATATAATTATGAATCACGTATATTAGGCGGTAATTTAATAGTGTTAATATAAAATTTATATTAATTAAATTATAAATTATTTGAATGTACAATATTTATTTAAAAAATGGTAAATAATATTTGTTATTAATTTTCAAAAATATATAATATCATTATTATTTTAATACGATCATTATTAATTAACAAAATCGATTTAAATGAAAATCCTTTTAATCTTCTCTTTCATTAAATATTATAGGGTATTTAAATTAATAATTAATCCGACGCAATACAATTAATTTTTAAATACTGGTATATTACAATATTGTAAACTAATTTTTATAAATTCTTTAAATATCCAATTATCATATATATACTCCTTAAAATATCCATTTAATATAATTATTGCTTTTTATAAGTATCCATAATTTTATAAATTTAAATAACCAATATTTCCATATTTACACGTAGCAAATACTCATAATATAAAAAAATGTATGTTGCCCATTCGAAAATACCCTTAATTATTAACATATACACTATGTTATACTCATACACAATATTATACTGATCGATTCAAATATCCCGGTAAGACTGATCATTTTCCAATTGATTTTATATAAATTGAATTTTTCTTCTTTTCTCTTCTTTTTTTTAATATTCTTATATTTAAATTTATATTTGTTATATACAAAGAAAATGAAAAAAGAATGTTGTAATCAAAAAGGAATATAATAATAATAATAATATAAAAGATAAATAAACATAAATAAAAATTCTTATACATATTATTATACAAAAATATGGACCGCAGCAGCAGCAGCAGCAGCAACAATAAGAGAGTAAGTATTATAGTAAAAGCATAAGTAAACAATGATTAAATAATAACTCTATAGGTATACTAATAAGAAGAGTAATAATGAAAAAATTTTTATATGTATAACATGTGCTTATTACTGTTATACACATCCATACATTCATATGTATATTATTATTATAATCTAATGTGATTCAATGATTCCCAGCATTTAAAATTATTTTTCATTCATATATACGGAAAAAAAAATTTTTTCTTATTTTTATTTTTGTTTTTTCTTTCATATTGTATTTTATTAACGCAGCTTCATATATGTATATAAATATTTTATTGGATGATAAGAGGCGTGGCCGTATATACTTTTTTCTTTGTTTAACTGGTTTAACACATTTGATACTCATTGGCTATTTTTATTTATAGCTGCGGGACTAAAAATATTAAATTGTTTTTCTTAAGATTTTAATATTGTATATACGAATTTTTTAACTTTAAGAGATTTTATATATTTAAGACATTGTTATATACAATACAATATATACTTTGGTATATATGTACATGTGGTGCTTATATATGATTTTGTGTGTATTTAACATCATTTGTTTCTTATTTTTTTTTTTGTGTGTCATTAAATTAATGTGAGAGATTTTTTGAAATGGAGTTTTCTAAATTTTGATGCATTTTCTTTTTATTTTCTTATTGTTTTTGCTTAAGTTTTTGGTATTTATGGTATGGTCTGGTATATATGATATTAATTATGAGTATATAAGCACGTATCAAATTTATATACGTAAATAAGCAAATACTATATCTGGGTATAAGAGGAAGAAATCTCTCTAATTAATTATAAATTATTAAAAAAATTAATAATTATGTGATTTGATAATTTTTTTCCTTGTTTGTTTTTTTTTTTGTAAAATAATTTTTAAAAGTCAATAAATTTTATTTTATTATATAGAAATTCTTCATGAATTTAAATAATAATAAATTATTATAACAGTGATTAATAATAAATATATGTATACATGTATAAGAGAATTGACAAAAAAAACTTAATTGATTATAATTTTTATAATAGCTATTTTATTGATAATTAAGAAATATAAAAAAGAATGATTAAAAAAAAATTTTTTTTTGTAAATAATTATTTCGTTATAATAAATTTCATATAATCAATAATATTTTTAAATTAGTACGTCTATTTGAGCATAATTACAATTTGCATTTGATTATATAACAATTCTTTAGTAATTAAAAGAAAACTTAATATTATTATTAAATTATAATGGAATTATTAGAAGCGCCTATTGTGCTGCAATTTTTTTATATTACCAAATTCATTGGTTTCTTATTTTGTGCCTGTTAATGTTATAATATTAATATAATATTTATAATTTTACGATTTGGAACTCATTAGCTGAATATAACAATTTTCGAAATATAACGATGCATTTTAATTGTTGATATTAATAGGATGAGAAAATAGTGTTTATCTCCAAAACTGTTATAGGCATCTATTCGATTTATTGTATGATTATCTAAAATAAGAAAAAGGAAATTTTTAAAGTACATAAATAAAAGGAAACACAATTAATATATAATAAGTAAAAATAATGTTTTAATTTTTATATAAAAATTTTTCAAAATTTCAATTAAAAATTCGAATTGAAAGACATAATAAACATTTCTTAAAAGCTGCTACTTAACTGCAAAATTAATTATAAATGATCCTGTAATATTTTATATGGTCAGAAAATTATAGTATAATATTTAAAATATTATTTCAATCTTACATTAAATTTCTTTAATGATTAAAATAATTTAGTAATGAACAATTTCTCTTGTAATCAAAAAACAAATCTTGTCATTCAATTTGCACATAGTCAAATTTGAGACTATAGCGAACAAAGATAAATTTGGGGTAAACTCAAAGATAAAGCAATTTCGAGTGCTCAAAATTGTTTTATCTCAACTACAAATATCAAATATGTAAGTTTAATCAAATCACAAGAATTTTTTTATTTACCGTAATTTTGAAATTTTCCGAATTAAAAAATTTTTAATTCGGTAAATTTAAACTTAATGTTGCAAAACCAGATATATCATAAAACTTTCTACATTAAATATATATACTTACAATTAATTACATTAATCATCTCCGTTATCTGTTATAGTTGGTAATACCATTAATAATTTTTCTCTTACAGTTTCATTACTACTATTATTTGTTGCCAGTTTACTACTTTCACGTCGTCCCAAATTTTTACATTCTTTTGTAAATGTACTTAATATAAAACCTCTTGGTTGTGTTTGTATTGGTATATAATTACGATAATCTTTATATGAAAGACATCGGCATGGATCTTCATCACAAATACATTGATTTTTTAACATTTTTTTTGTTTCTTTAACGATTTTCATTAATTTTGCTTTTTCAATCATTTCAATTCTTTTATTATATTCTAATGAACTAACAAATAACATATTATTTGAATTATTATTTTTTGATGAATTCAATGAATTTTCATATAAATTTAAATATTTATTTTCATATGTATTCATTTTTTGAAATTTTCCTGTTATTAAATCAGTATTTTTATATAAATTAGAACGTATACCACAACCAATAAAATATTGATTTGATGTTTCTAATAATTTTGGATTTTTTAACCATATTTCTAAAATTTTCCAATGATCATCCAATGTTGATGTTTTTATTGGTTTTATAATTTGATATTTTTTCCAAAAATCTATAATATTTATTTTTTGACTTTGTGGTGCTCTACTAGCAAAATGTAATAAATATTTTAT